TCCAGGTTATGGGAAGTTCTGCTTGGGAATTCTGTGATGAAGTCAAAGACTCTTATCTGGAAAGATAATGATGATGATTCCAGTAAAGGAACCTAAAGTCACCAGCCGGCCAAACGCCTACAGCCAGAGCAGGAGAGCGGCCGCAGGGAAAGTGATCTCCAGCTTTTCTTGCCCCAGTGTGGTGTCGCCAGGAGGCACCCACAGAAAACATGCAGGCACAAGATGCTTGGAATGTCGACAGTGTCTCTGGACACTCCCAGCTGCACGGAGCTGGCTGCTGCCCTGGAGGAAAGGCAAACATGTTTCTGCTCTCTTGGGCTTCATTTTTCTCACGGAGTCTGAAAGGGCTGCGATCAGGTGATATGTGTGGGGCTGGGCCCGGTACAGGTGCAGGGCAGGTACGAGGGGAGGAGAGAAACCCGCCCCGTGTGTACTTACTCACAGCTCTTTCAATAACCCTACCGGGATGGCTCTTGGCAAGGCAGTAACCCAGTCTCTGGCAGGCTGCAGGGAATCTGAGTGTGAGAAAGTCAGTCATGCGAAGGAAAAGGGGGAAAAAGAGCTTTGAGTCCTCAGGCAAAATACCCCCCCCCCTTTTCCTAGCTCTAAAACAAATCCACAAAACATTCCCAAAAACCTAGGGGGAAGGGGGAACCTTTTCTAGGCTTTATGCTCTAAAAGCAAACAGGCTAGAGAAGTCACCCTCATGGGTGATAGGTTACACAGGCAGGCAACAGAGCAGCCTCTAGTTGTGATTACTGGGTGTGATGTGGTTTGCAAATTCTGCTTTATAAACATCACACTGGGAGCTAAAAGACCTCCACTCAAAACACCCCACTCCCACTCCGTGTTCCTCCTGCTTTGGGAGTAAAATATGGTCAAAAAATGTTCCTAGGGACCTTTCAAGTTCAAAAAAGTCTTTCTGGATTTTGAGTTTACTGCCCCAAGGGAGGGTGGACAGCACCGATTTGATACACCTTCATTGACCAGGATAAGAGGCTGAAAATTCATTTATGAGTTCATTTGCAAAGCAACCTTGTTCTCGACACTAGCAGAGCCAAGAGTCAGGGCCTTCATGGCTTTTGAATCTTATTGGGAAGTGGGCAGTGCAAGGTACAAATGTGTGCATAATTGTTGGCTACATGGGCCTTCCGTCCCTCTATCTAAAAGTGTATTTGTGAAGTAACTTGCTTATTCTACCAGTGTAAATACTCCTGAAGTGACAATAAATTAATTGTGGTTAACTCTGATCCATGGGGCTGCTGGAGGCTATACTGGGAGACCCTAGCTGACTTGTTCATCCTCCATGCACCTGCCAGGAGCTAAAGCCTAGTGGCAATAGAAACAGACAAGAAATATTAGAAGGGACAACTGGCACGCCGGGTTCAGAACAGACAGCAGCCAAAGTCATAACAGACTTTACTGCAGAAGGCACTGGCTCCAAAGGGTTTGGGTAGGAACCTGAATAGAGTTAAAATGCTTCCCTGGACAGTTGTCCGCAAGACATTCTGTGCCAGTGTATTTGTGGTTTTGTTGTTGAGGACTTTTTTTTTTTAAAGTCAGAGACTTAGGAGGAGTTTTTAAAGAGGCTTATGTTTGCTGGGGGGCACAACTCCACAGGTTCATCACCTTTCATCATGAGAATTTCAAAAACACAGTTAAGTCCCACCACTTAAAAGGTGACCGGCAATTTTCTGTCATCACCACTTTACCATCTGCTTAGAATATGAAAGGAGGGAGAGTGCTACCCCAATGGTCCAGGTTACAGAGCAACAAAGAAGGCATTATCATTTCTTCAGAGCAAGATACAGCACAGCCCACTCTGCAGCATGGACACACGCACACGCGCGCGCGCGCGCACACACACACACACACACACACACACACTACAACATCACCCCACCCCACCACACACACACACACACACACACACACACACACACACACACACGCAAAGGGGCAGGAGACCAAAAGTGAATAAAGCCAACTGCCCCGAGGTAAAGGTTTGTTGCAAACTGGGAGAGGGCTGTCCCCGGAGGCAGGAAAGAGGCTTAGAAAGTAAAAAAGGTCAGAACCCTGTAAGATCGCAGAACTACACCCAGGGCAAACCAAGTTTCTTTTAACTCAGGTCAGTGGCGTGCGTGGTTAGCGACCAGGTGACCTGGACCAAGCAGGTAGCATGTCAGCCTACATGTGTCACTCCGAGCAGTCTGATCCCTTTATGTGGTCTGACTCCAAGTCCTGCAGGCCACCCTTGATACTTGTCAGGGTCATCTTTCTAAGGTGTCTTTTCCCACACTATGAACCTATTGTGGCGTTTGGAGTTCTTTATTATAAAGCAGGTGTCTAAGGGTCCTGTGGTGGTCTCAAATTCCTTCCTTGCCCTTCCACAATCCTGACTAAAGACCGCAGGTTCCATGCATCTGTGCCTTAAATGCGACGGGTACTCCCTCCTCAGCCCATGACTCAGCATATTTCCATCGCCTCAGCCATACTTTCCTGGGGTACAAACAGGTCTTCTCCACCGGTAACTTTACTACAACAGCTTAACGTCTGACTAATTCTCCTGGGTTCTTTCTCTACGTCATTTTACTCTTGTCTACTGTTTCTCTTCAAGGCCTCCCAGGAGAATCATCTGGGAAATCTACAGATGGCAGCCATACCCACACAGGTATCTGGCAGCAGGCTTTCTAAGACCACTCAGTCTTGTTTGATACCTGAAGCAGGTGTGGCTTCGTACTACGAAGACACTCCTCCGGATGACCTCCGCCCCTCAGAACACCATCTAAGCCCCCAAGAGAAAGGAAAAACAGAATCCTCAGGCATTGGTCAGAAAGTCTGACTCTGTGCCTCCGCAGTTGGTTGAGTACTCCAAGGGAGCGGCCACTGTATCTCTCATCGTGGTAATCCCCGGGTTTAACAGTGTCTGCCGTTCCATCATAAATGAGAGAGGGGCTTGCCCAAGGTCATGCAGTCAACGAACCACTTCATCTCATCCCGGACCAGATCTGGAGAAATCATTCACATTATCTCAGTAGGGGTTCGGGGTGGGGGTGGGCAAGGGAGGGACCTGAGTGTGTGCCTTGTGTGCCAGGCCTCCCGGACGCGGGAAAAGCTGGGGGGCGGGGATCAAACAACGCGCTGGGATCGCGAGCCGCCTCGAGTTCAGGGCGGCGGGAAATCTGAAGGGGTTGAGGACACCGGGGTGGAGGCAAGGGGCCGATGACCGGGGGCAAGCAAGGAGGGAGGCAGGCAGCCGCCGGGGGCAGCGCGCGCCGCCCGCGCCGTGCGGCAAATCCCCCAGGGAGGCCGCCGCCAGAGCCCTGACGCTCCCGGCCCGGCGCCCGCCACGTGGCACCCGGCGGCGGCGGCGGCGACTCCTCCCGGCGCGCGGCCCGGCCAGCCGGCAGCACGCAGTCGCCCGTCTCTTCCCCGCCGTCCGCCGGCGGCCTCCTGGATGCAGCGAGGGACCCGGGGAAGGGGCGGGCGGGCGGGCGGGCGGGCGGGCGGCGCGAAGCCTCTGTAACCACAGCCGCTGAGCGGAGGCAGGAGGCTGACCCAGCCGCTTCCTAAGTGCGGTCAGGCATCTCGTGACCGCGGCGGCAGCCCGGGTCCCTCCCCCCCGCTGCAGTCGCCGGGGAGGTTTCGGCCGCGCTCAAACCCCAAGATCAGAGTCCGGGCAGGCTTGCTTGGGGTTGGAGGGGAGGGGGTCACGAATTCCCTGCTCGCCACCCGTGGGCGAGCGTTGCCCCACCCGGAAGGGCTGACCTTGGCCAGGGGGGCGGGAGGAGGCTAGCACGGGGCCCGGACCCGACCCTCCACCCCCCATCCCACGGATTCCTGGCTGGCCGGGGCCGGAGGAGGGCCCCCCCCCCGGACACACACACACATACTCATACACGACACACACACACCCCACACGCAGCGCGCGCCAATGAGCCCAGGCCAGGCGCAGGGGGCGGGGTTTTCCCAGGCTCGAGCACAGCAGCTGCTATTTACCTTCTTGGCTTCTCCCGGGGACTAGAGCCGGCCCCCGTTCCCGGCCGCCCGCCGCCGGCCCCCGCCTCCCTGCCCCCAGGGCGCGCGCACACACACACTCACACACGCACGCACACACACATCCTCTGGGTCCGGCCGCAGCCGCAGCGGCAATAAAACATCCTGGCACGTGCTCCGACTCCAGGCGCGCCCTCGCCGGCCGGCTGATGTCAAACTGCAGCTCGGCTGGTGGAGCTCTTAAAGGGCTCGCACGCCAGGCGCAGAGGCCGTCTATGGCCGCCCGCAGGGCGAGGAGGGGGAGAGGCCGGCTCCCTGCTCGCCGCCCGTTCCTACTGCCAACCGAGAGCCTGCGGGGGAGAAAGGTATAGAGTGGCGAAGGAGCGCGCGCGCCCCTTTAGCATTGCTATCAAAGCCCCTCTTGTTCATCTTTCATTTGAAATTCCATTTCCTTTCTGCCCAGTAGGAAATTATTCTGATTGTTTCCTGGAGAAGCGTGAGGTCCAATGCCCCATTCCCAGGAGAGCAAAAAGAAGCGGGCTTGGGGGCGGGAGACAGGCATCCAAAAGCCACTTTGCCCCGAAAAACCTGCCTGTGAAGACATTTCTCTTTTGGGGGTGGGGTAGGGGTGAGGGAGTGAATAGTTTGGGGGTTGGTATTGTTTCCCCCCTACAGGAGCAGTTTTCACTCCCCTGAGCATACAGAATTAGAGAGGGAGTTCACTTTAGGTGTTAGAGTAACACACCCTTGCACGCGAGTTCCCTCGTTTTTAATTCACTAAATTCTGCCTTGGTCTATATTTTCCCAAAACTGTTTTTCAAATGAACTTATTATACAAAGAGCTTATATTGCACGTGGCAAAGACAATAAAAATCCAAAGACATGGCCACAAAAGAAATAGACTGCACCAAAGCCAGGGCGGAAAAGTCCTCTCTAAAGCAAAGCGCAAAGAGGCAGCAAAGGGTTAAAATCCTTTTGATTGACGTTGTAGCCTCCGGTGCCCCGGGCTCAGGCGCGCGCCATTGGCCGCCAGACCTTGTGCCTGGCGGCCAATGGGGGGGCGCAGTCCACGAGCGGTGCCGCGTGTCTCTTCCTCCCATTGGCTGAAAGTTACTGTGGGAAAGAAAGTTTGGGAAGTTTCACACGAGCCGTTCGCGTGCAGTCCCAGATATATATAGAGGCCGCCAGGGCCTGCAGATCATACAGGATCTGGAGCTGGTGCTGATAACAGCGGAATCCCCCGTCTACCTCTCTCCTTGGTCCTGGAATAGCGCTACCGATCACTAAATAGCCCTAAGACATACTAAACCCTCAGCTGCTTAGTAGTTTTTCTTAAGAAAATCAAGTTAAAAGGGCATAAGCAAAAAATAATATAATTTTTTGCGTGAAGGATTCCAAAAATACAATTCTCTGGGGACTGAGAAGAAAGAAAAAAAAAAAAAAAGAAAGAAAATGCCAGCTGATATAATGGAGAAAAATTCCTCGTCCCCGGTGGCTGCTACCCCAGCCAGTGTCAACACGACACCGGACAAACCAAAGACCGCCTCTGAGCACAGAAAGGTAAGCCAGTACCTGTGTCTCTCTGAAGCTCCTAGAAATTAAGTGGGTTGAGCGCGAAGAGGCTCCTTTTACTTTCCCCTCTTAAAACCTCGGGGTTACATGGCGGATCCCAAGGGAACTCAACCCCCATCTCCGCTTTTTTCCCCCCTTTGCAGTCATCAAAGCCTATCATGGAGAAGAGGCGAAGAGCAAGAATAAACGAAAGTCTGAGCCAGCTGAAAACACTGATTTTGGATGCACTTAAGAAAGATGTAAGTGAGCAATGCTTTATTACTATTATTTTTATTATTACGAATGCAGTGGTATTTCTCAGGCACAAAGAATGTAACTCTTCGCCTGCTGTGTGAGGATCTCACCCCGCCAGCACAGCCTTCCCCTAAGCGGGAGGGAGGTCCGGGCCTCTCCCGCAGGGCCCTGGGATGTGGGACTTGCGGGCGGGGTTGGGGACCTTCAGAGCAAGAAGCAGTTGACAAGCGTGGGGGGTCTCACTTTCTTCCCTTATTTCCTCTGCGTAGAGCTCCCGGCATTCCAAGCTGGAGAAGGCAGACATTCTGGAAATGACAGTGAAGCACCTCCGGAACCTGCAGCGGGCGCAGATGACCGGTGAGGACCGCGCGTGCGTCCCCTCTCTGCGGGTGTCCCTCTCCGCCCGCAGTGATTTCTTCCAGACTTCCGCCCGCGGTTGTGAGAGGCATTCAGCTACATTTTACTGCCTTGGCTCACTCCGCGTTCCCACGGTCTGGGTCTTATTTATAGCCACAACTCCCAAGTTGTTACTGCTCCGGAAAGGGAGGGAGAGGTTGTAGCCGAGAGGGTGGTGGGCGGCTTGGCTGTGGTGGCAGCTGGTGAGGACGAAGGGACGTAGGACTACGGCGGTTTGGGGCTGGAGAGAAGCTAGGGGTCACTGGCTTAGCACCCGTCCAACCGCTGCCACAAGGAGGGGAAGTGGGACTTAGAAGGCGCCTTGGGTGGCATTGCCCAAGGTCACGTCGCGCGCGGGGCTAGAGGTGGCAGATCTGGAGCTGAGGTCGGTTTAAATGGAGGGAGTGTCCTGGCTTAAGTCGCCAACCCAGAGAAAGGGAGCTGGGTTCTTAGTCTACCCCACCCTCCCAACCCCAGGTGGTTCCGGAGGCTCGCAGCGGGGGACCTCCCAGGGCGGGAGGCAGTGGCCCCCAGGGCCAGGGCTGTTCGGTGACCCGTCCTTTCTCCTTCTGGTCTGCAGCCGCGCTCAGCACAGACCCGAGCGTGTTGGGGAAGTACCGCGCCGGCTTCAGCGAGTGCATGAACGAGGTGACCCGCTTCCTGTCCACGTGTGAGGGCGTTAACACCGAGGTGCGCACTCGGTTGCTGGGCCACCTGGCCAACTGCATGACCCAGATCAACGCCATGACCTACCCCGGGCAGCCGCACCCAGCCTTGCAGGCGCCGCCGCCACCCCCGTCAGGACCCAGCGGCCCCCAGCACGCGCCGTACGCGCCGCCGCCACCGCTTGTGCCCATCCCCGGGGGCGCGGCGCCCCCCTCCCGGCAGCGCACCCTGCAAGTTGGGCAGCCAGGCTGGAGAGGCTGCCAAGGTTTTTGGTGGCTTCCAGGTGGTGCCGGCTCCTGATGGCCAATTTGCCTTCCTCATCCCCAACGGGGCCTTCGCCCATAGCGGCCCGGTCATCCCGGTCTACACCAGCAACAGCGGCACCTCGGTTGGTCCTAACGCAGTGTCTCCTTCCAGCGGTTCCTCGCTCACTGCGGACTCCATGTGGAGACCCTGGCGGAACTGAGGGGCTCAGGCCATTGCTCACCCTAAACTCCCTAGCCCACCTCTCCCAACGGACACTAAAAACGACTTGGATATTAGGAGAAAAGACTTTTATAATTTGGTGGCTACTTTGTTGCTTTTTTTAATTTCTAAAAAGTTACTTTTTGTAGAGAGCTGTATTAAGTGACTGACCATGCACTGCATTTGTATATATTTTATATGTTCATATTGGATTGCGCCTTTGTATTATAAAAGTTGAGATGACATTTCGTTTTTTACACGAGATTTCTTTTTTATGTGATGCCAAAGATGTTTGAAAATGCTCTTAAAATATCTTCCTTTGGGGAAGTTTATTGGAGAAAGTATAATAAAAGAGTGAAGGCTTTTATGTCTTAGAACTGGTTATTTCAAAAATTGTAAAAGGAGTATCTTGAAATTCATTTACATGTAGTCTGGGAACCCAGAAATAGAATTTAAAATATATTAATAATGTTTTAAACAGAAACCATCAAACCTTTTTCACCAATACTCCACAAACTAAAAAGACCTAATTTATGAAAATTCATTTGATGGGGCTAAAGGACTGCAAAAAAAAACATAATTTAAAAAAGAAAGAAAAATGTTTAAAGACAAATTCCTTATTTTATGCCTTCTGAAAGGTAGTTATGGGCAACTCTGACTTAACTAACTCCCTGGGGTAGCCACAAACCTCCTAAGCCACTGCAGCCTTCCTCCTCGAGTGTTAGGATCTTCATTAGCCCATCCTTAGGTGCAGCTGCGCATCCCCTAGTACTCAGGGCACAAAGCTTTAACTACCTCTCTGCACCCTCTTCAAGCAAGCTGAAAAGGTCAACAGATTCCCTCTGCCATGGGACAGCTAGTTAGACTCCCAAGTGGAGCCCGGGCCAGATGATTAACAGCAGACATGTGTTTCTGATAAGTTTCTGTGCTTGACTTTAATGGAGAAAGCATGTGGGGGCCGCGCTGGCAGGCACACAGGCCGTTTTCCCCTTTTAATACAAACAGCAAGCGACCCCTTCGCTTGGTCATGCCCCATTTCCAGGCAAGATGTGGGCTCCAGATAGAAGCAAAAGGGTTGTCTCGGGTTTCAGCTCACACAACCCTCCTTAACAAGTCCTAACTCAAAGCGGACAGCTTTAAACTGTGCCAGGATCTGCAGGGAATTTCTTCCAAATCCCATCACAAAGGCTTGTCAGATTTTGTCAGATTTGGCCAGGTGTTTGACTGCATCCAGGTGTTGGGAAAATGAAAACCACGAGCCCTGCGAGACCAGACACATCAGCCGCGCTGTGGGTCTGGCCGGCGCGCCCTTCCTCCCCCACCGCCGGGCAGTCCTCCTCCCAGCCCCCGCCCCGCCCGCCTGCCCGCCCGCCCGCCTCTCACCCCCTCCCCCTTTCCCTACTGCGGCTTCTGGGAGAAGGATGAGGCGGGAGAGATCAATCTTTGAAGCTTTCCTAACAAAGATAAAGCCAACGATTTTCTGTCTTGTTTCAAAAGCCTTACCTCTCCCCCGCCTGGCTCCAGCCTTTCCCACAGGCCAGTGTGGAGTGCGGCTCTACCACAGGGGTGACCTAGCAGACAGCAGTCGGCTCTTTCCAATACCTTCAGCCTCGACCCCTGGAGAGAGAGGTTTAAAACATCATATTGAAAATTTGGCTCCTATTTGCCTTATTTTGTGTACAGGAAAGGTGTCTAACACACCCTTTACCAAAGAAACACACACATCCTTCTTTGACATTCCATTTGTTTTTCGTTTTCTCTTTTGTTTAAACATAAATGTAGTAAAAATTGCTCCATTAAGACACCCATCCCAAACTCAAATACTAAAATCTGGTAAACCCAGTCCTCTGTCCCCACCAAGAGTTCTTAGCTTCTTTGGTAGAAATAATCCAGACATTAGAATTTCAATTTTATAAAAGTAATTCCTTTACATTAGTCTTTAACATTTACAGGGCCGAGAAGGGGTGGGGGCGGAAACTAAAAAGAAAACTTCAATTTCTTCATGCATCTTTATTAATGTTACCAAAGTATACACAGCATCACTAAAAGACACTAAGAAAGTTAGAGAAACAGAAACCACTGTTTGTTCTTTGAAAAGAGGGGCCTCCCCCAACCCTAATTTGGGTGTACATTATTAGATGACGCCTTTTCAGTACAATATGGGATGGAAGAAAGACTATGTCTATCTGGGAACAGTCGTGTTCTTGAAAGTCGCTGAACTCATGCATCCCCTTGGATAAGTCATTTCCCTTCTCTAGGACAGGTCCAAGTTCATAAACTGACTAGATTTATTTCTCAGACACTGCTGCCTCCAGCATCCCTGCTGTTTCTTAAATAAGTAGCTGGGGGAGAGGTGAAGCACCGCAGTTTGTTCTGTCCTCCCTGCAGGTCCTCCGGGTCTGGCCTAATTATACCGCCTCAGGGCACACCCAGCTGCCTGGGCCCCTCTACCAGCTCCTGCAGGGCTGATCTCTCCAGCGATAAAGCACATCTCCAAACTCTGTCCTTGAGGCCAAGGGCTTAGGAAGCCTCTCCTAGGAGACTCTCGGGGCCTCGGCTCTCCTGAGGTCTCTAACATCATCCCGAGAAGTGAGGGCCTGAGCCTGATTGAGCAACTGAAGCTCGCCCCCTCCTCGGGTCTCATCCCTCCCCACCCCCACGCGTTTTTGCAGTGGGGACCCAGAGGTTTAACTGGACCCCCTCATCGTCACCGGGAACCTGTCATTAAAGTCAATTAACTTTCCCCACACCCTTTGGCCGGTAACAACCCGCCGCTAGCTTCCTCCGGGCTCCTAAGTGCAACCAGATGGGCGGGCGAAGTGCCCCCGCCGCGAGCCCGCCCGCCCCGGGTGGCTCGGGGTTCCTGGGAGGCCTCGGGGACCGCGGCCGGGCGGGAGCGGCCCAGGGCGGCCACACCGGCCAGCCCCGGCGGCCCTGCGGCCAAGGTGGCTCGCTCAGCAGGCCCGGCTGCTTTCTGGCAGGAAATGAATAGCTCCCAGATGAGCTCAGGCAACCTGAGAGGTCGTGAGAACGGCGCGAACCCCCGCCTGTGCAGCCGGCAGCCTGCCAGGCCGCGGGGAGGGCGGGCGGCGGCGGCGGGAGGCCCGGCGGGCGGCGGCGGGGGCGGCGAGGGGCGGGAGCCGCTGACACACGAGCCCGCGCCCGCTCCCGCTGACAGGCAGGCCGCCGCCCCCGCTTCCCCGCCCCAGGCCAGCACCGCCCAGGCAGCAGGCCCCAGCCGCAGAGCCGCGGCCGCCCGGCCCGCCGAGGGCGGCCTGGGGGTGGGGCGGCCTGCCAGTGTTTTTCCAGTTCCCCCGGTAGCTCCGGGCCGCGTTTAGAAGCCGGAGAACTGGGCGGAGGCCAGGATCGGGGCACCGGAGGCCGGCAGAGCTCCGCCAGGAGTCAGGCTGGCCGGGCAGGAGAGGGCAGGCAGGGGCCACCTCGGACCCCCCCCCCCCCCCCCCCCGCCAAATGCCTTGCACCGGACTGGGATGCTTGCTGGGCGTCCAGAGAAAGGGAGTTTCGGTTCTAAGCACCTTGAGCTCCCAATAGGCTCCCCGCAGTCTGCAGCTGGCACTAAGATGACAACCCTGGTGGCGACACAACCCTGTTTAGCCTCCGAGACAGACCCGCTAGTGACTCATCCCACGCGTGATGTGTTAGGTGCCAGGACTGAAGTTTAAACAGAGGGCGCCCAGACAGATGAGGTCTTACTGGCGAGGAAACTAGGGAAGTTTTTTTCCCTTGAAGCAAGGAGGTGAAAAACTCAACACGAGGAAAGTCAGGTGCTGGGTGTCCCCGAGTGTGTCATGCTGTTGTCTGGCGCGGGCTTGACGAGCTGGAGACTGCTGCTGTCTGCCTGGAGGGCAGGGTTTGATTGTCCTAATTTCTCTAATAAAACGGTTTAACTTAGAAGAAGAGGAGGAGGAAGGAAGGAGACAAGTGTGGTGGCATTCTCCAACAATCCCTTCGAGGCACTTGGGAGGTGGAGGAGAAGGGGGGAGGGGTTCAAGGCCATTTTCAGATAAGTAGTCCAGGCTAGCCTGGGCTACCTGACACACCAAAAATGGAGTTATGTTGGTTAAAGAAAACACAGAAACAGTTAAAATGTAGGTGTAGATGGGGAGATTTTAATTTTACTATCACTCTTGCATTTAAAAATTTAAATACAAGGTTTGCACACGACCAGAGAGGGGAAGGGTAGCCTTACTTCCCTGTCTCTGTTCTTGCTTTACTGAATGAAACATAGCCATTGGGTTGAAAGCGCATGATCTGTGTCTGTTTGAGTTCAGGTCAAATCATCCAATCTGTTTGTGCTGTGCGTTTTGTTTTGGTTGTTGTTTTGTTTTCTGAAATACCTTACTATTTTACCCAGCTGGCTTCCAATTCCTCAGGCCGCCATCCTCCTACCTCAGCCTCCCCAGGAGCTGGGACTATCGGCCAGTACCATGGCACTAGCTTGGTGTCTCAATTTGGTTAAGTTCCATGTATAGGTAAAAAAGTTCATGAAGGCAGTGTATCAGAGAGCTGTGAGGGCAAGGTGAGTAAATGCAACTGAAGCCTCTAGAATAGTGTTCCATGAGAAAGCCCATAGTGTGTGTCAGCCATTGTGCTGCCCAAACAGCCACAGCAAGTGTATTATTCACCAGGTAGGAAAGCTAACCGTGGCCTTTAGTCATCTTAGCATCTACTTGTCATTGTACCAGACCGTGAGAGAGACCACAATTTCTTCCATTGTTTCTAAAGCTCATGCACTGGTTCCATAGTTATTGAACCAGGTTCATAAGGAATAAAGGCATGCTTTCTATAGCCAAAACACAGCCTGGCTGGCAAGAGACTTGGATGCAAAATAAATAAATAATTGAACTCATTGCATGTCAAATAATGTGAAAGGGGACATGTTATTTGGCACTAGTACAAAGAGCATAGTCAACACTGTCAAGGGAAGGGACTGAGAGTCAGGAAATGTGGCTTCAAGTATCAAGTTCGTCACTTCCTACGATATGCTGAGGGGGCTCAACTTAAGATTCTGAGGTCTACTTTCCCAACCAGCAAGGTGAGCAGGCTATATACATCAGGGATCATCTGAAGTCCTTCCAAATCCACAGCCCTGACAGGGCATGCACGAGGCAAACTTCAGGGCTTTCAGCCAAGGCCTCGACACACACACCACACACACACACACACACACACACTCTGGCCTCAAGGATGGACCCTGTAACTCACCATTATTAAAAGAAAGAAAGAAAGAAAGAAAGAAAGAAAGGAAAAAGAAAAAGAAAGACTGCTATACTTTACATTCTTGGAAACATGACATGATAGTAAGACTCATTTAGCCATATGGCTCTCAACCTGTGGGTCACCATTTGGAGTTGAAATGACCATTTCAGAGGGGTTGCCTAACACCATTGGGAAACACCAGCCCCTTACTGCATTAATTCATAACAGTAGCAAAGTTACAATTTGAAGTAGCAACAAAATTAATTTTATGGTTGGGGGTCACTGCAACATGAGGAACTGTATTAAAGGGTGGTGGCATTCAGAATGTTAAGAACCACTAAGCTAGCACACTGGAGGAAGGCCAGGCTCCTATAATTTGCTCCCTTCTCCTCTACTGTGAGCTTATCCTTTACTGTGACTATCAGAGGAGGAAGAGTGGAAACCATACCACTTTCCCTTTCTCCCTACCCTTTGCATCAACTCCAGCTCTCTTCCAAAAAGAAAATGCAAGCTGCTGGTGGGGATCAGGCTTCCTTTTCAACTGTCTAGGCTTTCCTTGCTAGTTCATTTGCCTAATTAACTAAACTTAATGAATGAGTCTGGCTAAACAGGAATGCCAGTCTGAATTAGTGAAAGACTGAATTTTAAACATCCAAGAGGTACAACAGTCACTTTGAATATACTTGCTGTGAGTCTGAATTCAGCTTATAAAAGTATTCACTTTCACAAAATTAATGCAATAAGGAGCTGGAGAAATGTCCCAGCAGTTAGGAGCAGGACCCAAGTTTGGTTCCCAACTCCCAGGTCAGGCAGCTCGCAACACTGTGTAACTCCAGCTCCATGGGATCAGAAACCTCTGGGACACCTGCACCTACAGACAGACAGACAGACAGACAGACAGACAGACAGACACACACACACATAATATATATATATAACATATACATAACATGTATATATAACATATACATATATATGTATATATGTAATTACAAATAACACAAAGTGTGGTGTCATTTAAAGAAATAGCAGGTAAACATGGCTCTAGTGGTATTATTTATGCTATAATCACTGTAACAAGAATGAGAAGATCCCTGATTGCAGCCCAGGCAAATACTTGCCATTGACATTAATAGAAAGGTTTCACTGTGACCACCCTTCCTGTTTCTGTGTGTTTCTCATTCTAAATCTCACGTATAGCTGAGTGACAGCCATGCTGCCTAAGGAATAGGTATTGTTTAAATGCTTTTTTCTTGGAAGTGTGATCCATCTTTACTTTCTGCCTGCTTTATAATTTAGTCATCAATTCAAGACATGAACTTTATAGATCTAATTTACAAAAACTCCAGTCTAGAGAAAACCTATTAGGATTGGCAAACACTATGCCAGACGTAGTACTTCCTGGTAGAGTTTGTCTTCCATCAGCTTTTCCCTATGGATATATGGTTATAAAAATTTATCCCTAAGGCATCAAACCATAAAACAGGATTATTCCTTAACAGAGTCAGAGGAGAGCAAATGCAGAAGCAACAGCCCTGCAGGGCAATTGTTTCCTAGGATGAGATTGTGTGTGTGTGTATGTGTGTGGTGTGTGTGTGTACTTTTCATAGATTTCTTCCCCAGTTTTACAGGTAAGTGTAACTGTGCTTAAGGAATATTTTACTTTTGTGACTCTTTAATGAGGACTGAAACTGAAGCAAGGATCCAAGGCTTGCAGGAAGGCTTCCTCCACCCCCATCAGGTAGAACACGTGTTCCAGGGAGGCTTTTCTCCTCCTCTGTCTTGCCACTCTCTGGTAACTTGCTCTGTTTTGAATGAAGGAGGCTCTCCCTCCCGCTCCTCCCCCACACCTGGTACTGCCTGTCTTCAGAGGCTTTGATGACACTCAGCACTGGTATGAGGAGTTGGAGAGGAACCAGATCAGAAGAGTGGCTTAGGGTTGGAGGGATGGAGAGAGGAGACACACTTTCTGCCTTCTGTGAAGCCTTGCCAAACCACTGCTCCTCCTCTCTCAGGTAAAACCCTGTCCTTGGGATCATCTACTCCCCAACTCCTTTATCTCATGGTCTTTTCCCTTAAGCCCATCTTTTCCTGGCTCTTTAATCCTGTCCTTGTTTCTCAAGCAGTGTGCTCCGAATTCTACCCTCTTTCTCCTCATTGACATGTGGCTCACAATACATGGACTTTATTTTGTTTTTGTTTTTATTTTGGTTTGGTTTTCTGGAGACAGGGTTTCTCTGTGTAGCTCTACCTGTCCTGGAACTCTGTAGCCCAGGCTAGCCTTGAACTCACAGAAATCCATCTGCCTCTGCCTCCTAAGTGCTGGGATTAAAGACGTGCACACCACTGCATGGCTATATTTTGAAATTTTAATAATCCTTATCTTTATCCTCCTCATTCTCTTCTTCCCTTTTTCCTCTGCCTAGAGTTTGGATTTGGGCTATCTCCAAAGGCCCAGGGGCTCTCAGCTCAGTAAGTAGCATTACTAGAAAGAGATAGAAAATTTGGGAGCTGAGGGCTCCTATCTCCCCCCCCCCCCAACACCTCACCTAGAGCAGAGTGTCTTTGAGTCACATTCGTGCAGATTGCTCTGGAGGATAGAAGAGGGTGCTGGATCCTTAGGAACTGGAGTTACAGATGGCTTATGAGCCATCCATGGATGCTGGGAACTGAACCCTGGTCCTCTGCAAGAGCAGAGAGGGCTCTACTCTGGCCCTTCTCTCCTTTCTTTAAGAGGGCCTTGCACATGAATGTCTGCACATTGCTTAGATCTGGCATGCCTTTT